TCCAGGATTGGAGTGACTTGCACTTGAGAGATTGCCAGAGATAAGTCTGCTTCCCTCTTCCTTTCAGAATTACAGAGTGCAGGAAGGGAGAGCTGGCTGTGGACATGCAGCTTGGATTAGTTGCAGGTGTTAACAAATACATGTCTTTTTAGTGCATATTCTAGGGCAAGTAGAAGCAGTGCATGAAAAATCAATCTCTGTGTTCCAGGAGATCTGGGGGAAGGTGGTGTTAATGCAGAGCCCTTTGGGAGGGTGCTGGTGGTGCAGTTTGAGTGTGACTCAATGCCCAGGGGCTGCTGTGGAGGCAGAGCCAGCACCTCTGGCAGTGAGGGCTTCTGTGCAGCTCAGCTCCTGGAGAGGCTCTGGGGACCAGCACAGTGCACACTGCAACAATTAAAGATAATTTGGGTGTGCATGAACATTCTGCAGTCCTTTTGCTCTGCTAAAATACAGACTAGCGGGAGTTTCATGTGAAGTGAGCAGATCTGTCTTCCCAGTACTGTCATAAGAAAATATTTGCTTGCTTACATCCAGTTTTCATGGCAATTGTCCTCAATACAAACTGAAGGCTGTTCAGCAAGGTCCTTTTAGCAATCATTCTGTCTTCTTGTTTAAACAAAGGTTAAAAATGAAAACTGAAACAGAAATTAATTTTAGGCGAGGTATTACTAGCTCGGAGGACATAACTGAACTCAAATTGTAATTTTTAAAACACAATTCACTTTGAATGTAGAGAGCTAGTTCAAGGGTTAGAAACAGTGCATGCAAGTGGCCAAACTAAGAGCAGCACTGGCAAGAAATATGTGAGCTTGTGCCACTGGGATATGAAGGAAAATGTGCTCTTTGCTAAATGGATGCCTTTACAACATGTTCCACAGGCTGCTGCTGCCCATGTTTTCCTCGAGTAGGAACAGGCAGCAAAGTTCCCCAAAGGATGTGGATGTGGAGCTGGGGGCTGGCAGTGCCTCACTTGGAGTGGAAATCACCTCCCTCACAAGGGATGGCCATTGCCAGCAGTGGGCAATGCCCATCAGAAACAGCAGGGACATGTCCAAGGATGCTCTTTAGAGAAAACATTTCTGAGCAAAATGTTGAAAAAGGAGTTACTCTTTGTGTGTTTTGATCAATTGTTGTTTATAGAGCAGCAGTAGGGAGTGGGAGCTTTTTTACCTCTGGGTTCTCTCTAGGTGTGCCCTGAGGAGAAAGGGACAGCTCTGAAACTGTGACTCCTGGTCTTTAGAAGTAGGAGTGAAGGGTGTGTGGAGAAGGACTGAATAATTCAGAATGATCCCTTCCCTCCTGATGCTTGTCTCCCCCAAGCTTCCATGGGAGGAAACTGTTCAGGCTGTGCATGGAGGATCAGAAATGCTTGGTCTGCCATGTCTGAGCACCAGGGCTTTGCACTAAAAGTAATTTGTGGGGCTGTTACATTTTGACCCTGAAGGAAACTCCACCAATGGAGCATGGCAGAGATGAGGCATGTGGGGATACTCTGCGCTGCTGTAAGTTTTATTTACAGAAGGAGTTTATTGCCTGTTTTCCACCCCTGCCTCTCATTGTGCTTGTTTGTGAAAGCATGACTCGTAGATTAGCACAGGGAGGACCTCGCTCTTCTAGAGTTACTAAACAAGCACCGAGGGTTGAGTTTTTAGATTAATCTGTTTTCACTGCAAAAAGTGGTTCCTGGAGGAGATTTGATTTCAAGCTGTGGTCCTTGGGCTTCACATGCATCAGGAAGCATTGGCTGGATGTGCTGGTCAGGAACTCGTTCCCAGGACTCCTGGGCACACTTTTCCTACAGAAGGACATTAGCAGGGATCACTGGGAGCTTCACATTGCTCTGCTGAACTCGCACTGCTCCAGCATGAGCTCCACTGGCAGCACAGAGTTGTCCTTTAGTGGCACTTCAGGGTTTCTGTGCCCAGGAAGAGCACTCCTCAACATCTTCACACAAATTTCATAATTCCTTCTGAATATGTGCACACTGTATAGAGAATTTGGATATACAAATCTCATTTTGGTGCCTCTCTGTCAGCCTGATTTTCCTGTTTATTCCTGCTTGAACTGACAGCAGTAGCAGCTGTGTCTTTCCTTGGGGTGGGCACAGCCTCTGGGACTGGTGCTTCTAGATGCTACAGCAATGCAAATAAATAACTGCTGGAGGAACCCTGGCCTCGTGCCTCTAGACACCTCTGTCACACTGGGAGTGCTGGTTGGCCTTACAACTTTTATCAGCCTCTTTAGGACTTGGAATTGTGCCTTGCTGTGGAGGAAATGTCCACACTGTGGAAGCAGTGGTGCCAAATCATTTCCCCAAATGACTTCCCCTCTGGGTGGTAAAGTGCATTTTTCTGTTTTGTTTTCATTCCATCATATTCTGTATCTCAAGAGAAAGATTCATTTCCCCCCCCATCTACAGTTTGGTTTCCATATTGTTTAGTTAAAGAGGAGGTAACTTCATACACTGTGGAAATATTTCCTACTCCCCATTAGTGATTAATACCAATAAAGCCAAAATGAAATTTAGAGGATAAATGACAGATAGCAACCAATGAGATTTCCTGAAAGAGTTTTAAAGGCTAATGATCCTTGAAATGTATAAAAATAAATTGCTTCATTAAAAACCATTTTACAAAATAATTTCTTCCTAGCAGCATATTTTCTTCAAAACAGTTCCCCCGTGTAACTACACCTGGGTAGTAAAATTTGATTCAGTGCTGTTCCTATGGGGCCACAGTCAAATGCCCTGATTAGGTCTGTGTCCCTGTGCCTCATCAGGGGAGCAGGTTTGGGGCTGAAAATGAGAGACATGTTCAAGGCAAGTCTGTTGGAGTTTTTACTTTCTGCCCAGAGCCAGTGCCCTTGTTTCTGGGACAGCAACAAGCATGTTTAAACATGAGTGACAGCTTCTCTGTAATGGGCACAGGGCTTGTGAGTCACACATGGCTGAAACCACAGCCATTCTGCTCTAATTAAAGAGAACTTCACTAGGAATGTGTAATAATTAGCTTGGTGTGTAGTACACCATCCATGTCAGCAGTGTCTGCCACAAAGGTTGATTGAAATGTGCTCACCCTCCCTGCATTGTGCTCCCTGTTAGAGCTCCTCAGTCAGTTCATTACTGTGCTGTCAGTGACAGGATCCACAGAAATCTGCAGAAAATTAGAGCAGAGACTCGGTTTAACTGGGTGGGTTTCCTCTACTCTACTGAAGTCACACACCACGCTAAAGCAAGGCAGATTTATACATCAAGATGAGATCCCTGACCTAGTGAAGATGAATTAACAACGAAAAAGAAAATTCTGTTGTGGGAATGTGGGTTTTTCCGAGTTGTCTGCTGTTGTTCAGTTTGAACAGGCACAACGCTGTTGTGCTGTGACTGTTTATCAAATTAAATACAGATTATTTTTGCTTCTGTTTTTGAACTGTTTAATGGATAAGAAAATGCACTGCTGGTAACTTTGTTAGCATCAATGTGTTTCTGTGCTCTTGCTGTGGATTTAGGAACAAGGTGAATGTTTGGGAGCAGGAGAGGTGCTTGGCTTGTTGGCTTGGTGAGGCAGTGAAGTGACAGGCTCAGTGGTGTCTCAGTGGTGTCTCAGCTGGGAAAAACATTAATTTTCTAGGATGAATTAACCAAACTCACTTGGGTAGCATCATCCTTCTCCAGGGGAATTCACTAAAGGTTTTGTCACTGTGTTGGCAGGAGCAGGATCTGGGTGTGAGAAAGTTCACATGTCCTTATGAGGGTGCAGAAGATATTTTAGAGCTGCCAGCATGTGCATCTTCACATTCAGTCATTAAAAAACATGGTTTAAAAATGCTACAGGCACCAGAGCTTCTGCACCATGTCCTTCCCTTTCAGGAGGCAGTGTAGGACCCTCTTGGGGGAGGGCTGAATCAGACCCTCAGGTGTTTGGACTGGGAGCTGCTGGGACAGGGAGCAAATGGGTGCATTGTGGGGCACTGGGTGCATTGCCATTCCCAGCACCAGCTGCTGTGACAGATGAGCCTGTCCTGAATTTGTCCTGTCTTTTTTTTTTCTTTTTTTTCCCCTAAATTTTATGTTATTTGGGGTTTTGTAAGCAATGTTGTTATTTGTTGTAGCTGCCATTGGGGCTGCAGTTGCGCTCTGCAAGGCTGCTGTCCTGAGCAGCAATAGTTGTGTTGGACAAGGATTTTATTGTGTTATAATTGGGTTTACATTGGGAGCTGCTGGGACAGGGAGCAAATGGGTGCATTGTGGGGCACTGGGTGCATTGCCATTCCCAGCACCAGCTGCAGTGACAGATGAGCCTGTCCTGAATTTGTCCTGTCTTTTTTTTTTCTTTTTTTTCCCCTAAATTTTATGTTATTTGGGGTTTTGTAAGCAATGTTGTTATTTGTTGTAGCTGCCATTGGGGCTGCAGTTGCGCTCTGCAAGGCTGCTGTCCTGAGCAGCAATAGTTGTGTTGGACAAGGATTTTATTGTGTTATAATTGGGTTTACATGGCAGGATGGGGCTGTCTTAACTCTGCTGATGCTGGTAAATAAGTAGGCAGCTTCAGTGGGAATGAAATTGCTGGTTTGAAGGACAAGTCAGGAAAGAATCACCCTCTGCATGTCATAATTAACCAAATTATGCTGGATAACTACCCCCAAACTAGTCCCCAGTGATGCTATTGGAGGTCAATTTTTGTCTAACTTACTGAAGCAATTCTTACATAGTTTCAGGTGTTTAAAGGATCTTTATATCATCTGAAATGTGTGGGCTGTTAGTGGTCAGGGTGAGTCACAGACGTCCTTCAAAGAACAGAATTTGTTTATCTAGGAGAGCAAAAGGATGGGGAAATCATGTTAATGTTAAAATACACTTGGGAACTAAAATTACTTTAATAAATGTATCTTAAGAAATAGGAATGTGTAGATCCTGAGTTTAGTCTAAGATCTCCCACCCCAACAGCTGTCCCCAGAAAAGAAAAATCAAAGTGAATGGAAAAAACCTGATTTTCCCCTGACAGGACACCACAACGTCAGTGAGGATAGGTCTCATGATGGAAGAAATGATCTTCAACCTTGCAGATACACATCTGTTCTTCAATGACCTGGAGGTATGTGGCTGCTTATTTTATTTAACATCTTTCTCTGTAATCATTTGCATGTGGTCTAGAAACTTGGGGCAGTTTGGCCAAGAAACTTTTTATTTTTCACCCCAGAGAAGTGGACCTTAGTTGGCCTATTGGAAGCACTTCCATTCTGTTCAGGATTTTTTTTTCTAAATACTCAGTTAACAATGATGGCTTTTTGCAGATTTACTAAATGTAATAATGAGGACATTGCTGCTGCTTCTTCTGAAATTTGCTATTTAATAATTTTATTCAGCTAAATTAGCATAGAGCCGAAGCAGAGGTTTTGAAAATGTTGCTCTGTTCTTGAGGAAGGTTTTGCACAGACAGAGCAGGGGGTCTGCTCAAGCTCAGGAATACTGCACCTTAGTTGGCCTATTGGAAGCACTTCCATTCTGTTCAGGATTTTTTTTTCTAAATACTCAGTTAACAATGATGGCTTTTTGCAGATTTACTAAATGTAATAATGAGGACATTGCTGCTGCTTCTTCTGAAATTTGCTATTTAATAATTTTATTCAGCTAAATTAGCATAGATCCTATGGGGCCAGACAGCAATTAGCTATGAGCCAAAGCAGAGGTTTTGAAAATGTTGCTCTGTTCTTGAGGAAGGTTTTGCACAGACAGAGCAGGGGGTCTGCTCAAGCTCAGGAATACTGCAAGATGAAACTATGGGAGTTTCAATGGAGCAGACAAAGAGGAGGAATTTTTCCTGCTGGTGACATGGTTAGACTTGACTATCTCTCATCTCTCATACAAAGCAAAAATCCTTTAGAGTGTGTGGTAAGGTGCAGGCAGAGTGGTGCTGGCAGAATGCTGAGGAGCAGCCTGCAGCAGTGGTGGAAATGTGCTGGCATTTGCAGTCAGAGCACTCAGCCTGAAGGAATCAGGTACAGAGTGATGAGGTGGGGTTGGAGCTCTGGGCACCTTGGAATCAAAACACTGCTTGAAGGCATTTGGAGAATAAAAACCTGGCATCCCTGGGCAAACTTCTATGGTCTTGTATTTTTTTTTCCCCCTTCATTTGAAAAAGGAAGAATTTGTTTCTGTGCCAGATGAAAGGAGAGAACTTTTTCAGTGCCTGAGGAGTTCATTGGGAATTTCTGGTTCCTTCACTGCCTGACTGCACTGTGGTCCCCTCTGTCAGGGGAGGCACAGCCTCTCCTGCCACCTGGCTCTCGCAGTCTTGAGGCTTCACTTGCTGAGAATTTTTATTTCCTTTCAAAGACAAGCACCTGAACTGACAGATTTTTTCCTCTTTCAACTTTTTTCATAGAGGGAGTTTGTGATGAGGACATGGAAAGTACAAAGTAAAATCTTTCTCTTAGGGGAAAAAAACAACAAAGCTCCTCTTTGGGAGCCCAGGGCACTATTTAAGGAGTGACAATATTTACCAGAAAACCATCACCATTTACCCATCAGATCTCAATATGTGGTGCAACAAAGCTCCATGTCCTGCACAGTGACCCTCCAAAACCCCTCTGCCTTTCTACACTTTTGCAAGAATTACCAGTTTTAAAATAAGTTTTCTCCTTTTTCACTTACTGCCCTAAAATTTTAAATGAAGCAGAAAATTGTCTGACCTTCATCAAATTGTGCACATTTGTCAATCAGTAACAGCTCTGGGCACTGGTGGTTTGGTTTTAACTGAGCTTTTCCAATGAAAAATTGATGGATGACAGAGAATTAAAGAAAAGTAAATGTGCCTTACAGAATTTTACTTTCCAAAAAAGCCCTGTCAATTTGGAAGAATTTGCAGCAACAGAGTCATCCAGAGTTACCCACCCTACTCCTTCATTTAGGATGATAAATAAAAGCCACCTTTATGTATTCACAGAATGGTATTTAAGGACCATACATCACTGAGTACTGAGCTTAAAAAAATACAGTAAATGACGTCCTTAAAAATGAAAAAAAGAATTTGTAAAAACCAGCACAGGAATAGATTCAGTTGTAGATCCACAAGCATTACCATATACATTAGCACCATCATGTGGTGCAATGCTGGCCTGTACCAGACAAAAAGAGCTGAAACTGCACAGGGCAGGAACCATTTCTGACCATCTCCTGTGCTGGGGTAGACTGGGAGGTGCTGTAGCTGAGAGAGCAGGGGGAGAGTTTCCCATCTGAAACCACAGCAGGAGTTCTCTTAAACACTGAAAATGTTTCTGGGGCACACATCCAAGTTCAACCATTTATCAGACTGGACTAACCAGAGCGTGGCTGCCCTCAGAACTGACAGTGGAATAAGGGGAAAGAGGAGAGAAAATGTCACCCATTCTTTCCAGAGAGGCAGGCTGGACAAGGAAGTCAATTCCCGTGCTTTAGCTCAGGGGAATGATTTGTTCGGCTGGCTGCAGTTTGCAGTGCTGTGCAGAGAAGAAGGTGCTGCCAGGGTGCAAAGCCCTCCTGAAGCATTCCCAGGAAGTGCCTGATGAGGACAAAAAGTCTGTCCATAGATACAGCAAGGTTTACACAGCCCTTGGTAGAATTTGGGTGATTCTCCTTAGTCTGGTGAGGATGTGATGTCACCTAGCAAAAAACTGGCTTCAAAATCTGAGGGAGGAGCCTGAACTGGAATGCAACCTTTTTGCTGTCGAAAACAAAAAAAAACCAACAACAAAAAAAGATTCTGAAACTCTGATTAGCCAGGGCTTTATCTTTTCTTAGGATCTACCCAGAAGGGACTCAGGTAATTGTTTCCTGGATGCATTAGCTGAATGCATTTTGGCTGTGCAGTTCCATTCAGATGGATCTATTCAGATCCATCCTGCTCCAGCCCATCCTGTCTCAGTGCTGCAGTGCAGCAGACAGGCCAGGGTCCAGCTGATTCACCCCAAACCTCAGGGTGGTTGTGTGGGAGGAGGCTGATACTACCCCCAGGGCAGGGGGGAGACTGCAGAAGTCTTAGATTTCTACTGAAAGCTTTCAGTCTTTTTACAGTAAGGGATTCTCTGTCAGCAAGTTGAGTCCTACAGGCAGATGAAATCCCTACAGTCTGCAAGTGTGAGCCATGCAAGGTGTTTCTCTGATCATGCTGCAGAGTATATCAGCAAATCACCTGATAGGGGATATTCTCCCTCCCTGCTCCCCTTTCTAGGGGATAAATCAGGGAGAAGAGAACTTACCCAGGGTTAAAAAACACAGTGGAGTTAAAATACAAACTCCGGGCTTTCCAGGGTTGTGCTTTTTTTCCCAGATGCCTTTTGTTCACAGTACAATGCTGGCTAAAGAACAGCACCTTCCACCCCTAACCCCTCTGGAGATATTATTGTCTAGCTGTCTGGAAAACAGGTATTAAGGACAGGAGGACTGACAAGGGCATGAGGAACTAACAAACAAGGGGATTAGTGTGTTTACAAGTTACTGCCTTTGGGAGCCATCCCTGGAGGTTTTGTGTTAACCCCTCCTAATGAGGGATGCAAGCTCCACTGATCAGTGAATCCATGAGATGTTTAAAACTCTCCAGCGCAGTCCTGACCCACAAATAGCTTATGTGTGCCTTTGTAAGTTGTTTCTATGCCTGCACGAGACATACCTTGGGAGTATGCGGGGGGAATGTGAGGGATAACAGAAGGAGCTCTCAGGAGCCCTGTGTTTCACAAGGAGGCAGCAGAGGCTTTCTCCAGGCCAGCAGTGCCATTTAAAACAGCTCAGGCTCCTCTAAACGTGGAGTACATTTAGTAAGAGTACAAGTACCCTTACTAAAGAGTAAAACCAGGTCAGTGCCCAGAGCTGGAAGGGCTGACTGAGGTCTCACACACTTGCCTGAGGTCCAGGCCGGGTGTGCCACACGCCATCCACCCTGAGATCCCAGATAGAAACCAGCAGGCCTGAAACCTGGGCCATGTCCCCCTCACAGCCTTCCTGCCATTCCAGCAACCTCCTCCTGTTCAGCAGCCGAGGTATCTGGGTGTGTTTGGTTCCCCTGTCACTGAGATGTCAGGGAGTCCTCAGGGGTGAGGATCGGGGTGCCAGCAGTGGTGGAAGGTGCAGGCCATGGCTGCGGGAACGCGAGAGGCGCAGCCGGCGCTATGAGGTAGCGTCTCAGCCAGTGTCAGGGTGTTTTATTAACTCAGAAATGTGATAGCTACTGTTGTCACACTGCAGTGTACAGAACAATCCATTCACCAACGAGAAAAACAGATCCCTGCATGAATGCCTTTCCCCTGACTTCACGCAGTCGTACAGCTGAGGTGGAGTGGGCTGACCCCAGCGTGGCTCACAGCAGCTACTGGGAGAGAGCCTGAAAAGTGCCCAGGACTGAAAAGTCCTGGAGGAGAAAGAGAGGTGCCAGCAGGGATCTGCTGTTCAGCTGCTTGGCTGCAATTATACACAGCAGTATATACCCCAGTGGTGGGTTGATAAGAGGGCTGATGAGATGAGAGCAAGATGCAGTCGTGTGTCATTTTGAGAATTATCTAAAATGCTGCAGCAAATCTCATTACTATGGACAAGAATTTGTTGCAGTAGGACATGCAATGAACGACACACAGAGCTGAAACTTCTGAGGTGAAAAGAAGGAAGTTTATTTCTCGACTTCGATATATATAGAATTCTAAAAGTGACTGTGGATTGGAGGATGAAATTGCTACTTCTTTAGCTATACTGGTCAAATTAACAGTCTAACAAATTTCTCTTCCTCTAGAAAAGAATGCCAAACAATCATTATTTACATGGAAAAGTGCGTAAAAATTCTATTACAAAAATGTAAACATCAGAAAGCTTAGAAGAACTTAGAAGAAAAGAGTGACAAGGACTATCTGTCATGTTTTGCCATTGGCAACAAGTTTGGTTACTTGTTTGGGGATTTTTTCCTTCATTTTTTGAAAGGGACTAGTTTAAAGCAATTAATCAAACTTGTCATTGTGTAAGGAAGGTAAAGCAAATCCTGTGGTTTATAGAACGCTGAAGTGGTGAAGAATTACTGCACCTTGGTTAGCTGCAGTTGTTCTGACTCCAGAGTCCTGTGGTACCAGGTGTCACAGCTTTTAAACTGTTGAAAAATCAACCAAAATAAAAATAGTGTTCATCAGCTTGGAGGCTTTCAGTTCTGCTCTCACCTGTAAGGCTCATGGAGAAAGGAGAGTTAAGGTGCAGGGGGAAAATTCCCAATTTTTCTCTTTCTAACCTTAATGCTGAAACTGAGAAAAAAACCAAAGGAATAACATTTCTCACATTTTTGAGGCAGGGCCTCCCCCATTCGAACAATGAAGGATTTTGGAAGATAAGATCTCGAGCACATACTTCATGCAGGCTGAGCTCCAAGTGTATATTCTGGTTAAATTTCCTGTGCACAGATCTCCTCATTACTGACACACATTATTCCCCAGCTCAGTCTGGGGCTGGGGCAGTGAAGGAGTGTTTGTTGCCTTCAGTGCTTCAGCCCAGCTTCCCTGCACATCAAAGGAAGCTCAGCCCCCTCAGAGCAAACTGGGAAAGCACTGGCAGGGCAGGCAGGACAGGCGTCTCTGGAAATCTCCCTGGGACAGATCTTCTCCCCTGTAATTATGTGGGCATACACCTCCTGTCCAGAGCAGTATTCTCACAGGGGGAAAGGCTGCCAAGTCTCTGCCTTATCATGCATACAGAGTAGAAAAAGCACAGCTTTCCTGGCTAAAACACAAGCATCTCCATCTCTGTCTGCATAAGGAGTTCCTCTCACTGTGTTAGTCAAGAGCTGTTGTGCCCTTAGATAACAGCAGATCTCACACACACACTGTCTGTTCATATTTTGTACAAGTGCTATGTGATACTTGTTGCTAACAATTAACTGGCTAGACTACAATACTAGCAAATTTTAAGATTTTATCTCCTTGATATTACACTTAAAGTAATTTTGCATTATATTATTTCAAATTTTTTTCCCACAACATTTACTCACTATTGTATTTTTTTTTTCATCTGCCTCCTAGGACTGTGACCAGATCCACATAGATGATGTATCATCAGATGATAATGGTCAAGATCTAAGGTATGGGGTCTCCCAAGCTGGAAGCTGCAGGACAGGCAGTCCCCAGCCATTTGGAAGTAGCAGGGGGCTGGGCAGTGATTCTCAGACCTGCACTGTCTTCCTCCTGGCTCCATGCTGTCTGCATTTATTGAGCACACACAAGTACAGAGTCCCCTTTCTCACATTATTGTGCCTGTGCCTTCTCTCAGGCCCTGACTCTGCTGAGCTTTGAACCATTCTGGGAAATATATCTAAATTAGGTTGAACTCCAGTCAGACCACACCAGTTTTATATGTCATTTAACCAGACAATTGTCACAGCTGTCGCCAAAATGCTTCAAAACCAGACTGAAAGGTTTCCCACTTCTCAATCTGTAGTGAATGGGCTTAGTGAGGAGTTAGACTTTGCCATGCCAGATCCTTGTTGAAACTTGTACCCAAATTGCACCAAATGTTACCATTAGCTGTGTAAGTTGGGTCATCATGTTCATAGAAACTACTTCTGTACAATTCCATCTGCTTTTCCCAAAGTGTTGCCTGCAGAGCCATGGTAAAAGGAAAAGAATTAAATGTGCAGAACTCGTATAGAGCTTTGCAATTTGTGGTTTTATGGATGATTATTGTGAGAAATTGATGCAGGAACAGAACATTTTTTTAGATCTGTGCTGGTAGTTGTGCTGAAGATGAACTTCAGTTCTGTACAGCGTGTCCTGTGTGTGTCTCTGCTGCCACTTGTCTCTGCAGTTCTTTTCAACCCTTTCCCCTCCCTGCTGGCACTGTGCAGGCTGTAATTACACTGACCTCTCCCCTTCCCTCCCTCTCCCAGCACGTACAACTTCTCTGCAGATGGCTTCCACAGTTCCACTGCCAGTGCAAACCTGTGCCTGGGCTCGGGGGTCCACGGGGGAGTTGACTGGATGAGGAAATTGGCGTTCCGCTACCGCCGGGTCAAAGAGATGTACAACACCTACAAAAACAATGTGGGGGGTAAGTGCCACTGGCCAGGCCACCAGCAGGCCTTTCATCTTCCCAAAAACTGGAGAGCCTCTAGGGCCATCTCTGGAGGAGGTGTAGGGAGCCTCATGATATGAGTGCTTCACGGTGAGCTGAGCAAGCGCCTCCGCAGTCACCCTGAAATGGGGATCTGTACAGGCTTTGTGGGAGTCACACTAAAATACCTGCTTAGTGGTTTGAGAAAGACTCAAGTCCCAGTGTGGGGCTTTGTTTTGTAATTTATTTGGCAGGAAAGTGACCTTCTCCAATTTTCCAGAATGTTTAGCAGTCAGGCAAACAGTTCAAAACTAAATATGCCCTTTTTTTCTACACAGCATGTCTGATTGCTGTCTGAAGGCTTTCTTGTGCTATAGCTGCTTGTTTTTAACTGCCCCAAAACAATACCACCAGAAATCAGGATTCCCTGGGTTCCTTCATCTCACCTAGTTCCAGACAGGTCTTCCAAGAGACTCTCAGCTTCCTTTTCAGTACATCAGTGCAGGTTTCCCTCTGACTAGGAAAAGAAAGAAGCAAAACTCAAAGCATCACCACAACTTGTTTATTGGTTGGAGGACAAGTCTACCCTGCATGCACTGGAAATGGGGCATGGCTTTTCAGGAGAAACTAAACCATCCTGGCCTCAGGTGTCTCTCTGCCCAGGTCACTGCCCACTTTACACAGCTCCTCCATCTTCTTGCTCACTTCCCATGCAAGCTTTATGCTCACTCCAAGAAAGGTGTTCCAAGGACGTCCTGCTGTGTGTGCTTGACTGAACCATTCCAGCAGAGGGGAAGGAAGCTGAGCTGCAGCAGCAGAGGATTGTGAAGCAGCTGAGCTGCAGAGCTCAGGTGACATGGCAGTGACAAAGGGAGGCAGTGGCACCAGGGCCAAGAGAAGGGCAGTGGGAGAGTTCAGAGCACAGGCAGGTGCCCTTTGGCATTGTGCATACAAAGCCATGCAGTTCCCTTTCTGTATTTCCCTGCTTGCAGGTTTAATAGGAGCTCCTAAGAGGGAGACCTGGCTGCAGCTGAGAGCAGAGCTGGAGGCGCTGACTGATCTCTGGCTCACACACGCTCTGAAGGCGCTGAACTTGATACATTCCCGGTAAGAGCAGCTCCAAGAACTGCCTGTGGGTTTCATCCAGGAGCTCCTTTGCTTCCCTTGTTCTCCCCCTCTAAACAAATTGAGACACATTTACAGGATTTTGCTGGCCAAGCCTGTGGGAGGCCAGTCTGCACATGTTTACCAGGCTGAATTATCAAGGGTTGGGGTGAGCTTGGGATGGTGAACTGAGCAAAAGCAAAACAATCCTTGTCCTTGCCTTTCCTTGGCTCCCTCAGCCATGGCACCATTTTCAAATGAGCATGTTTACAAAAGAGGAGAGGGGGGAAGAGCCCCTCTGTCCCTGAACACATTCACTCACAGAACCCAGCATGGACATTATTACATTGTGTTTAAATTCCCCCCAAAGAGGTCCTGGCAAGCTTGCAGTAAGGCTGCATCACTACTGCTAGTTTGGTTGATGTTTTTTTCATTCTACTGAGCTGATCAAAAAGACATTTCTGGTACTCACATTATCTCCTTCTGGCTGCAAAATCCCCCATTGGCTCGGGAACTTCCAGTGGCAGGAAAGGTTTGCTTCCTACCATCTTTCATCTTTCAGTCCAAGGTGAAAAAAAGAAACTCAGATTTCTAATAACTTCTGTTTCCTAGGCCTAACTGTGTGAATGTGTTGGTCACCACAACTCAGCTTATACCAGCTCTGGCTAAAGTGCTTCTCTATGGGCTGGGCACTGTCTTCCCCATTGAAAACATTTACAGTGCAACAAAAACAGGTAAGAGCAAACTGACTGAGGCCTCACCTAAGGCAGGCTGAAGTTTTGTCCCTAAGTCATGCAATGAGTGAGCTTTATTTTTAGTTCCCTGCTTACAGATGTCTAATTCACATCTTGACTCCCACACTTAACCTAGTACAGACTGCAGGGAAAAAAAAAAGTCTAAAAAACACTTCTCAAGTGTCTCCAAGGGGAAGTGAGCCAGATATATAAAAATGTGCCTACCCTGTGGAGCACTGACTGCTCGTGGGATGTCCAGCTGCACCCAGCTGCCAGGAAGGTCTGGTTGGACCTGTTACAAAAACACTCTTTGGATCCTCTTGCTCTTGCAGAGGGGTCAAGTGTGCTGAATGAGCTTTGTGAAGCTTTGTGAGTAATAAGTACTGATAGGGTTGGCTTGGGGCTTCTTTGTGTTCTGTTCTTTCTGGTGTGTTTGAACCCCTGAGGATTGCATCTTCATGTTTTCACTGCAACCAGAATGAACAGAAGAGGGCTCTGGAAACTGAATGTCACATCAGTCTGCCAGCTGGTGGCCTAAGCAGGGCATCACAGCCACAAAGCTAAGAAAACTGGCAGCCCTTGCAAGTCCTTGGCTGGCAAACAAGTGCTGGTAACTGGCATGAGAGGTTCTGCCTCAGAAGAAGATCCAGTTTGAAAAGAAAGCAAAGAATGTTGCAGCCAGTTCAGTTAGGGGATAACTCCAGGTTATCCCTGTGCCTGAATATTAGCTCTGCCTGTGGTGTGTGTCCAGATAAAAAAAAATGTATCTTCTCTTGTGTTGCTCAGGGAAAGAGAGCTGTTTTGAAAGAATAATGCAGAGGTTTGGAAGGAAAGCCGTGTACATTGTAATAGGAGATGGAGTTGAAGAGGAACAGGGAGCAAAAAAGGTACAGTTTGTGGATGCCATGCTGGATTCTTCCAAGTTTTGATTGCAATGACCCTTTCTTTATTTAAGAATATAATGAAGCTCCCTCCATTTGAAGCAGCTTACAATTGGTCTCATTTTTTAATATGTAAAATACTCAACAATCACCTTGTCAGAAATTCTATACTCTAAATTCCCCCCACTTTGGCAGATGGTACAATATTTCAGGTAGTTGCTGTGTCACATGTTCCAGGAATAATTCTTGATTAATAAAGATGCTGTAAAGACATGAAAAGGGAAATTCCAGTGTGTGACCTCAGATGAGCAGGCAGAGTGAGTTTCTGATCTACACATGCTGATTTGTAAATTCTAACTTGTTGGGATTAGTTTTGAATTACTTACTAGAATATGCCTACATCCATACATGTGTTGGTATTTATGACTCATTGAGATCATGAGTGTAACTTCATTATAGCAAATACCAGAGGGCTTGTACAGAGTTGCTGCCTTCATCTACAATTTCTGGATCAATGTGATTACTTTCACAAGCAAAATGAAATTAGAAAATTGTACTGAATACAAAGAACAGAAACTGCAAAATCAGTGTGATCATGAATAGTGAGAATTGGAACAGCCAAAGTTTTCATTTCCTAAACTTTAGAACAGAAACATGCCTGGAACTTCCATTTATTTGGCCATACAGGGCCAGGACTACAATTTGTTAATGGCAAACAATATTTGCAAGATGTTTTTGTCCATCCTGGGTCCTGTGCTCCTGAGGTGACAGGAGAAATGTGAAAGAGCTGCCTTTGCTCCAGGAGCATTGCACATGAGCTGAGATGCAGGAACTGGCTGAATGAGCTCCATCTTCCAACTTTAATTTTTAACAGATACACAAATGACTGGTGTAGCTCAGGTGATGTTGAACATATTATATCACAGGGGCTCAGCTACACAGCTGAACCTTGTGCTGGGGGACCTGCTATCTCATTCTCACTGAAGATCCTGCAAAGACTTTCCAAGCAAATTTGAGCTCTTTGGTTGCACAGTAACAAAGGGATCCCAGAGAATAAGGTGGGAGGCACATGTTCTATCCCCAGAACTGTATCTCAGATTGTCTTCAAAGCAGCAGACACCCATGGTTTTTTTAGTGTGTTTTTCCTGGCCAGTGGAAGCAACAATATCTGCACCCACCTTGGAAAACTACCTAAAACTGCAGATGGTTTTGTAGCTCAGGAAGGGTTAAGGAGCTGTCAGGAAGAGCCCAAATGCATGACTGGGGCTGAAGTGACAATGGCCTGCTGCTCGTGGCAGCTCAGTGCCACACTTCAAAGGCAGTGGGTCAGTGAACAGAAGTGCATCAAAGGCTGCAGGGGCTCCCAGCCTGCCTGGGGAGGTTCAGCAGTCTCCTCTGCTGGGATTTCAAGGGCCTCCTGTCTCCTGGCCCAAGCAGCTCAGCCATTAGTAGGACACATTCTTTGCTGGGCTGTTGCCTCCTTTGATTGATGACAATCGTTAATCAAACCTTCTACACACCTGAGCTTTATACAGAAAAAAACAAAAAAGGGAGGGGACAGGCAGAGAGGCTTTTGCTGTTCTGCTGACAGCACTGATAACATCTCCAGTTTTGTGGGTCATTTTTCTTCACCTGTCTGATGAGTGATAAATCTGTAACTGCTGAACAACAGGAGTGGCTGGGAGGCCGAGGCTTCTTCTGGTTTAAGAAAGAAAAACAGATAATTTAATGGAAGGGGTTTAATACAAACTGGGAGAGGGGAAGGAAATAACTTTTCCCCTTAAAGTGAAATTGCAGAGCAGTGGATTTCAGTCTCTTCAGCTGTCTTGGTTTGCTTGCTGTCTCTACACACACTGATAAACAGCTCAAAGAAAACATCTATTCACTGGTAGGCAACAGGCAACATACCAGAGAGAAACTTTAGTTGTATTTAATGGTTATAGGAGTGTAAATAAACTCTCTGTAACATGAACATCTGGAACCACTGGCATTTTTGGTACACAGACAGGTACAATTGGAAAAGGAACATCTCCCTTCATCAGGATCTAGCTGGGAAGAGCATGTTCTCTGAAGCTTTGTTGAAGCTGTTTATGCAGGAGCAGTGTGGTTACAGGAGAATTCCTGCAGTGATAAAAGACTCTTTAGCAGTGTTCTGCCCATGCTAGAAGGGACTAAGCACGGTCAGTTCAGGCTTTCTGTACATTTATTACTACATATGTACTACTGACTGTGCAGAGACTGACATTTTGGGAGAAAGCAAAGACAGAGTCCCAAATGTTACAAATCCCAGTGCATAAGGGAGCTGTGTCTTTGATTTTACTGCTTTAATAGTTTTGGTGAAGAAACAAACCCAGTGCAAACCGCAGGCTCACCAGAACACACAAAAAAAGTTGTATTTAACATCTAAGAACATGTTCTGATTATTTTGAGGTTCTCTCTGTGCAAGCAGCCATGAGGATCACAGCTTTTGCTAGGGAACTCTGCTGTTCAGGGACCTTTCAGGGCACTCTGGTGACAGGTAACATTCCAGGTCCCTGATAAAATTGAACTGTACTTGTTTCACAGCAATTAAAAAGTTGCCACTTTGTCCTCTTTCAGATGCAAGTCTTGTTTTCCTACAGTATAGTCCTAATTTTTAGGAGAATGATCCAGATATTGTAAAGAAGATAGAGCGAGTCACAGGTAGAAACATTCCTAATCAATTTGTGGGGGGAAAAAAATAGGAGCAAAGTTTAGTATGCAGCCCCCATTCTCCATCACCTGTGAAGCAGGATACTCCTGAATTGTGGAGGATGTGTCTTCCTGTGTGCACAGGAGAGAGATCAGCAGAGACACTTCCACTTCATCCCTTCCTCCCTAAGATGAGCCTCCTTTCCTCTGGCACTGTGACAACCTGGTGGCCAAGTACAAAACTCTGTTTCTGAGGGTACAAGCTAAGAAAGTTGTTTTGATCTCAGTATTATACAAAAACAGAAAAAAAAAATTGCACTCTTTTGATTTCACTCTAGCACAACATGCCCTTCTGGAGAATCTCTTGTCATGCTGACCTGGAAGCTCTTCGGCACGCCTTGGAACTTGAATATTTGTAGCAGAACCCAACACCTTAGCACTGGGAGGGCTTCACTCAGACTCTTACATCGGTTCCAGCTATTCCTCAATGTTTTCTTAGTAAAGAAAATCCCACAGCAACTGCAGTTTTTCTTTTTTTTGAAGGAGAACCCTTTCAGTGGAAGCCTTTAAGAACTTGCAGCCAAAGAATATTGTCTCAAGTCCTCCTTCCTTTGGACAGAGGAGAATCCTCCTGATCAGTCACTGGGATGCTGCAGTTGCTGGCTGAGGTGGAGGCACAGAGCTCTAATGGCCTTTTTGCCATCAACAAGGCAAATGCTACAAGTCTGGGTCTCCCTGTCAGCATTCTTGGTTTTGAAAGGGGAAGAGGACAACACAACAAGGAGTCTGCACAATCCATCACACCACACAGAACCTCCTGAAAATAGGAGTGAAACTGTTGATTTTTTTTTGTTTTGTTTTATTTTTCTTTTTTTTTTGTATTTTTTTAATTTATGAACTAATCTCATTACTCTGGTATTAAGCTCTGTACCTGTTTTTCATCTGGCTTTTGGGGGTTGGGGGGGTGGGGAAAGTCTTACTGTTCTAAATTAATAGTTCATTTCTCCAGAACAAACTCTGGGGAGAATCATATTGTGTACATGAGTAGAAAGGACACATGGTACTGCTGGTAAGAACTGTGGCTGTGGTTTTTAACCTTACCAAGAGGGTACAAGGACTGTGCCTGTGTCTACACAGTGCCTTACGCTGCCATCTTGGGGCTGAGGATGGGGGAAAGTACCTTGTGATGAGTGAAAGGCATTAAATAAAAACATGTTTACATTTTGGGGGACTGGAGTACCTGCCTTCTCTCCCAGCACTCTTGGATCTGAAGGTAGCAGGTGGAACGTGTGCTCCCTGTTTCAAGGCTGGCCTGGTAATCTTGCTGTCAAAATATTTAAATGCTCTGGGCCTGGATGGATCTCTTAGTTTGAAAATGGCTGATTGTTCTTTGCTGTGGCACCAGGTATGGTCAGAAGGATCAAAGCCCCTCTGGAAGGAGGGGTTAGAGATGCAGCAAATGCTACTGCCCTCACCTCTCAAAGGGTTACACAAGTGCTACACAAACCTGAGGGATACTCCTAACTTCTAAAAACATTTAGGGAAAACAGTGCTGGACCTGAGAGGGGATTTTCTACCAAGCTAAAGATGAAATTAGTCCAAGGCAGCAGCCCCCCAGCAGCTGTGACCCAAGCCAGCCTTTCAGTACACACTGTGGGGGCATTTGCAAAGAGCTGCTCTCTGGGCTTAGCACAACTCCATGCAAAATGTCACTTTTCTAGCACAGCCATTGCAGGGCTCAGGGCTTGCTGAGCAGAACTTTTTCATCACGGTTTCCCTGCTGTAAGAATGGTTTTCTTCACTTGTGATATAACTTCCTATTTGTGACAAAGACAGTGGAGAACTGACTAATGCTTGCATAACTTTTGAAAGAGGAATAAATGCCAGGGATTGCAGATGCCCAGAGAAGCACAATTTCAGCTTTTAAGACCCCATCCATCAGCTAATTTATCTTCCTTGAAATTCCAGATTTAACACCTGACTTGAGTCAATTGTCTGAGCACTGATTCTGGGTTTTTTTCTTAAAGATTCTTGGAAGATTTTGCTTTCAGAATATATTTAAAGGTTTGAAGGCTCTTGGTTTTGCTGCTGACATTCTTAGCAGAACTTTGGGTGGGACACACCAAGGGTCAGGAACACATCTGTCACACAGGTGTCACCACTTCCTTCCAGTCCCCATGGCACATTTGTCTCTCAGTGCAGCAACAGTATCAGGATTTACTGATTCAGGCAATTTATCATGGACAGAAGAGGGGATCTACAGCAGGTTTGTACTTGGGAACATCCAGAAGGCCTGGGAACATGCACAGACACATGTACAGGTCTTGCTCAGCTCCTTCACCTGTAGTTTTATGTATTTCTACATTTTCTACATACTTTACTGGGATTTGGTCACCTGTTATTTTAGAGGAGGGAAGAAAACATCTCTTCTATAGCAAAGAACAATGCTCATTAATTTAAAAAAACCCCTCCACAGGCTGTAACAGGTGTCACAAAGCAGTGGGGCTTCCTACAACAACTTGTACATCACTTTCTTTTTGCTCTAACACAAGGCCTTGTTTCAGCATCCAAGTTCCATGGGGAAGGCCAAACCTCACTTCAGGCTTTCAAGTTTTGTGCTTTTCTATAAACAAGTAGCACTGGGAACATGAACTGTGGTTGCTTTACAAATGCCCAGAACAAGGTAACTGCAGGAGCAGGAACTTCAGACAGTATTCATAGATTTTACAATGCTTCATAAGCTCCCTGTTTCTTTTAACTTAATTAAAAATAAAGACACACACAGAGAAGTCTTACCCAATTCATGCTCTCTTGAGGGGCTGCAGTTGCACTCAGAGCCCCCATTTCTACCCACAAATACACCTAACACTGACATGTATCTATCCAACCCCAATCCAACCACTGAATACATGATACACAATATCAAACTGGACAGGCCTGGATCCAAAGGTCCCACATTTCTGAGACAGAAGATGCCAACATAGGTGAAATTACCTGTGATCTGGAGACTGTGCAGAAATGAACATTCCTCCAGACTGAACCAAAACTGGAAATCCAGGAACACAGAACATTTTTCTAAAACAGTTTAATAAAAAAATTGTGACGTTTCCTGAAAAATTGGAGAAACCCAAAGCATATCGTGTGTGTCACCTGTCTTAGTCACAAAGAAACACAATTGTCAAAAAAGATATTTAAGTTTAATACAAATTTTATACAAAGAAAATGTGAAAAAATACTTCCATATGCTAAAAGCAATTATGCTTCACAAATAAGGCCAGCTAGGCTAGTTTTGACACAACTGCAATTAATGAATATTCTGTTCTCACTTTTTTTTATTCTAATACTTTTTTCCCTCTAATCTGGGTACTAGCTGGAGACTGTACAAACCGCATTCTTATATAAACAATGGGAGAAATCAACATGACTAAAATGTACAACAGAATGTACTGGAATGATATCATACAGTTAATTTTCTCATATACATACATCACCTTTGCTTTGTTCAATGCTTTCGTTTTACACAACATACAAAATGGGACTACAGCCTCAGTGTAACAGACAGCATCTCCAGGGGGTACTTCCTCTCATACTGCACTGCTTCATGCTTACAGAAAAACATAAATTCCATCATATAAATAATACATGCTCTGGCCCAGCATCAAAAGTCCTTTGCCCATGTTTCCCAATGCATGTTTTTCTCCACACCTAGTTCTTCAAAGTCCTTTGGGAGAATTTTTAAAAAATAAGAAAACTGTGAAGCATAGCAACAAACTTTACTTTCCTCAATCTTTGATATCAGTCATCAGAAATCCTGCTACAATCCAGCTGCTATTACACTTTGCAAATTTTCTGATCTTAGACTGGATGAAATTTTAAAATAATTTTAACCTGTAAACAACATTAATATTTGTTGTCATCCTGGTCATCGTGAAAAACAGTATACATTTTTATGGATTTCAGGTCCATAATTTGCCTAACAGAGTTAGCTGAAAAGAGATATCCTTCATCACTTGGTTGTTCAGAAAAATTCCACAAGAGTTTCAAAGTGCAGAAATTTTTTCACTCCAAATGCAAAAAGTTGTTCAGATTTTCTGGATCAGATTATTTGATGCAGTTTCCCAAGACCAGTTCTCAGCATTAGGTTGTGGTAAGGCTCTTTTAAACCTTCCTTTTCCAACTTCAAACGCTCTTTATAAGTTAAAGTCAATACAAATATAAAAAGGAGATGGTACTCTAATGACATCCACAAATTGTACATTATTTACAAAAGAAGCATAGATTTAATATGGATCTCACCTGTCCTTAGCTTTTCTAAGCCAGCACTAATGCTTTACATTAATGTAGTGTAATTAATGCTTTGCACACATACACAAAGCTAAAGTCTGAACCTCTGAGGTTAATCCAAAGAACTGTGTTTATTTGTCACATTTCTATTAGATTTTTTTATTCCAACAATTGTATGCACTTCTTGTTAGCAGTTAGACTCTTCGTACTTGGACTGGCATTGTGGTCTGAACATACTGAACTCCAGTTCTCATTGCCACTGTCCCAGCAGAAGGACTTACCACTACAGGAATGGTCTGTGGATTAAAACCAAGAGAAACAGATTGTTATGTTAAAGGTCACCTAAACATGACCACAGAAATAGAGATTTGTTTTCCAGGGGAAATCCAGAACAAGTTCCAATTTTGTGCAAGAACTAATACCTTTATTACCACAGAATTACCTCATTCCAGGGGAGGAGTAGTGCATAACTTCCCTATAGCCAAGAGTTTCTGTGTTCTCATCACTGCTCTAGAATTACAGGGACAGGAGGTGCAATAGGGGCTGCACACACTACCTGTGCTTGGAGGGTGAGGGTTTCAGAGTTACATCCAGTTATGTATTTTCTGCAAACTAATACGTGGGAAGAGGAAAAAGGGCTAAGAAAATCCTTTGTCATTTGAAAAAGTTCTGACAAATCAAACTGGAGTACAAAAATACCCTTGTTTATAAGTATATTCTCGTTACACATTACTTAAATCTTTTTCCCCAAAAGGAACTTTTCCCCCATGCATTCAGTCTACACAGAAGAGAACAAAGAACATCCATTTGAACAAAAAAAAGTACTTAAGTTAACTTCTGCACAAATCAATAGCAAAAACATCAGCATTACTGGGAACTGTCTTACACACCCTGTAAAAATATTAATATAGAATAAACTTTACACTTCCATCATACTGATCATGATTTATACACCTCAACAAATGGAGTTTCAGGACATCTCTATAGGTGGTAATTGATTCTACAGATGCAGAGACAAAGGCACAAGAATGTTTAACAATCTGGTCAAGGTCACATCACTCTGGAGATCTGTAAGAGGATTTATTGAACCTAAAGTCTGTATCTTAACCTTCCTCCAAAAACGTGAGAAAGTCTAGAAATGTCTCTACCATACAAACTGCAAAGCGTGTTCCGACACAATTCCAGTGATGCACAACTGGTGATCAGACAAACGCATCCATTTCAGTTCACAACATCTTGTGGAAGAAACAGGGAGTGAGATTTTGAGGAACCTGAAAGGGATGCACAGATCTTCCCCCAATGGTAGTGTGACATTCCAGAGAGGACATGGAAGAACAAATACAAGTTCACTGAAGCCCAATGTTTCCCCACACTGATTCAAGAAACCACATGAGTGTCTTAATGATATTCCACAAAGACTCTGAGTATCCCTGCTGAGATGGATTACAGCTCCTTTGTGACTGAGTCTGTGCCTTCCAGAAGCCTACTCATTCCATTCCCTGGAATGCAAAGAAGATGGGTTCATATTTTTACATTATTTTAACTGCAGGAAGAATAAAAAACAAACATGGGACCAATTTGCTAAATAAATTCAAAATTACTGCCATTTTGTAATGATTTCAGATGTGTTCACAAAGTTCAGTGGAAATGGTACCCAGAAGATACAATGAAAGTTGTTCCTAGTTGGACACAAAGTGCAAACTGAATTCTAAAGAAGCCATTATGTAAGTCACTGTCAGTACTAGAGGTGGGGAAATTAAGGTTGCCACAGTTGCCTTTTAAATATACACACTTACACACATGGAATTAATTAATTAAGTTTCAGTTCTCAGCGCGATCGGAATATGGAATGTGCGAGACTCCTTAAATGTGTTAAGATCATTCCCTGAGAGGTAAATTTTCCACCTCTGCCAGTTTTACACATATGTACATTTTGC